TCGCTTTAATAACCAGAAGCAGACAAATAAAACCTAAAAGGCCCTGTAGAGATGCAAAGCGGCACTTTGTTTTATATCTAAGGCAGATTATTCAAATGAAAACACGTGGAGATATAGCTGAAGGCATTAAAGAAAGGTTAAGAGATCTCAACAGTGAACGGCACTCAGAAACCTTTTCCAACCATTAACTAATCTTAAGGCTTCTTTGCAGCAATATCCCTAACATGATCCGCCGCTGCAGATTCAGCACAATAACGAGTGTCACAAATTTAAACCACACATCTCTATCAGCCACCTGACTAAACTAACATCAAATCCTGTTGATATTCAAAGCTAAAATAGCCATAAAAATTAAAGGGTTTTTTGTTTGTAAAGGAACAAATGAAAGTGGTGTCAGCATGGCTGGCTGTCTAGACTGTTTTGATTGTCAGCTCTTTACGTATGGACTATTTGTCACTATGGGTGCATACAGTACTAGAAAGAAGAGGGTTTGGCTTCCTGGCACTACTGTAATACAGCTAATACATAATATTAAGAGCAACAACAATCACTGAATTGAAAGTTCTGGCAGAAACCAGGGCCACTGCTAAAATCTGAGGGGCACTATGCAAAAAGTAACACAAAAGGCTTAACTTAGCCCTGCAGGGTACCACTCCTGTGCTTTTGCTCAAATGTGGGCCCACAACTGAGCCCTCCCAGTATATTCAGGGAGAATCAACATGGCCAATCCTACAGATCTCAGTTGCCGTGATATAAACAGAGGGCAGCAGGCAGTTCCTGAGCTAGACTGGTCCTATGTTATTTAAAACCTTTCAATACTATTATTAATAAATTCTTTTTATAGCACCGTAAGTGCATACATGGAATAGGCCGTCGATGCATTGCAGAATGTGGGCACCATGAACTCCTGCAAACGAGAAAGCCCATGATAAACTGTACTGCAAGCCCGAGACAATAAATTGTACTTGCATTTTATATGCCTCTTTACAAATCTCTAGCACCCTTTGTCCAGGATCACCTTGTAGGAGGCAATAAGGCAAAAAAAGTAATTTGTTAGAGATTCCTCACATTTTCATTATGTTTCATTTCAAACTTTTTCATAAACAAGTTTAATTTTAAATGACATTCTCATTTCGTTTTTTGATGAAACTCCATTTTTCAGCATGAAAATTGTTTAGTCGAAAAATTTCAACTCGCTCTATACATCAGAATAACAGTGTAGAATCTCTTGTATTGGCATAATCAGACTACTGCTAATACCAGCTATTTATAGTAACTTTTTTGTCCAGTATGTAAGTCAAATTAAAAACTAAGCTGTCAACTTATTATCGCCATTCAAGTCATTACCAGTATCAATCACAGTCAGAGCATTTAAATCAGGGGTCTCAAACACACGGGCCCGCGGAGTTATTTGCTGCAGCCCGCCAAGCTCCCTGTGTCCCCCCCTGCCCCCGAGTTATTTCCTGCGGCCGCCAAGCTCCCCTCACCCGCCGCCCCCTCACCCCCCAGCGTACCGCATCCCCGCTCCTCTGCCTACCTCCAGCACTTTCCCGGAGGAAGGGGGAAGGAGCGGGGAGCCACACGCTCAGGGGAGGAGGCAGAGAAGAGGCGTGGCAGGGGTGGGGATTTGGGGAAGGTGTTGGAATAGGGGCAGGGAGGGGGCAGAGTTGGAGTGGGGACTTTGGGGAAGGGGTTGGAATGGGGGCGGGAAGGGATGGGAAGAGGCGAGGCAGGGGCGGGGCCGGGGGGGTGGTCAGTGATGCGGCCGTCGGGCCAATGTACCAGTCCTCATGTAGCCCTCATGGTCATTTGAGTTTGAGATCCCTGATTTAAATCCATACTCCGTTTTATTTATGTTTTTTCCCTACTGGAAATCATAAAAAAAAAAACTAGTTCTGAAACATCCACATTTCTGAGAAACTCAAAAAGTGCCAAGGAGGCACTCTGATTTAGGTGGTCAGCATGTACCTCATCTGATTAAAATATATATAATATACATAAAATTGCTATTCAAATTCTAATTTTGGAATTCATGTTATTCAATCAATTTGCAGAAAACAGCTATGCAACACCCCAAATGGGTTGGCAATATCAACTTAATAACCATGTTTTCATTTTTTTCCACCTCCTTAATGACAATATTTTGCACTGCTGTAGCACTTTCCACCTGAGGATCTCCATGTGTCTTACAAACATTAATGAATTATGCTTCACAATACTCCTTTGAAATCCAGAAATATTATCACTTTTATAGAGATTGGGAGACTGAGCCAAAGATAGATTCAGTGGTGTAGCTAAAAACACAGAGATAACCTATGGTACAACTGGAAAGACAACTTAGCCCCTATGCCCTATTTCCAAACCCATGCTTATTCTCTTTCAGTCAATATAGATTTTAAATGCGCAACACACCTATGGAAAGTCTGTCCTGTAAAGATCTGGAGTTTACAGGTACATATTTGCTCAACGCAATACTGTAGGTTGTCTTGTATGCATTAGAATATCAGATTATATTGTGAAAGATGCACATCTCTGCTTTTAAATGGAAGCAGCTGTCATAAAACAATAAACACAGACTCACTGGAGTCTTTATAAAGCAAAGACTTATTTCTTGGGAATAGTCATTTCCATTGGATAACTGAACTCAGTGTCTACAAACATAACTTCAGGTTGTGCACTTGCTACTTCCCCTCTGATGTCAGTTAATGAACCTGAAAAACACAATTTTTTCCAAATGTCCATCATATCACACTGTTCTAGGTTAGGGCTCATTTGCTGAGATATACATGGTGTGACATGAACCAATGAAAAGTAATGAACAAATCAAGTTTCTTCTCACTTTCACGACCTAGGATTTGAACAGGTAATACATTACCTGAATTTTATACATAGCCTGTCCAAAAAACCTATTCTACTGTGACCCTGGCAGCTTGTTGGCTGTTATTCAAAGCAGTCAGACTTATACATTCAATACAGAAAATGATTAATTCTGGAGATGTTTTACTGCTGTACACTGATCACTTTTCAGCCACTTCTCCATGACGGAGAGAAGGGAGACTCCTGCTAGAGCTGGTCACATAATATACAACATATTTTGTGAATATTCTCATCAGTAATGGCAGTGAGTCCTGTTCATTTGCATTCGTGGGGATACGTCTACAAAGTATTCAGCTCCTGAAGATTTGTGACGATGTTTGTGAATCTGGAAAGTTGCATGAATTTTAGCACAAATTACTCATCTAAAACTCAATCCCTAAGCGAATTATTTGTTATTTTCAAAAGTTTCACCAATTCATTCATGGAGCAGACGCAATGCCATGTGACTTAAATTACCAATCACAAACCACACATAGAGTAATCACAGTGTGTAAACAACCAATCTGCCGAAATTTGTGTTTGCCTGAACCATATTTGGTGAATATTAAACAAAGAGATTAGGAGATGTGGAATTAATTGCCAAGAGAAAATAAGTATTGTTGGTTATGAATAATTTGACCGGCTCTACTTTCAGCTGTACATCTTGGCAAAGGAGGGGACCTCTTTACATTGACATCTTAGGTTTCCAGCAGTGGGTTGTGCACAGTGGTCCAGCAGCCGGCACACAAGGGGAGGCCCCAGAGGGGGGACTGGAGCGCAAGCCAGCTCCCACAGTGTCTGTTACCGCCAGGACCCCACCCCTGTCTGCACGTGTTCCAGACTCTGGGCCAGTGGCAACAGGCAGCGGCACAGGGAGCAGGGTCCAGGCAGCAGCAGCGTGGAGGAAGCAGCTGGAGCCAGTGAGTAGAGTCAACGGGGTGCTGCCTGGTAGGGATCGCGGTGCGGCCGGGGAGAAAGGAGCTGGCTAGGGCTACTTGATGGAGCAGTCAGCTGGCAGAGTGAGAGCAAGGAAGCTGGAGGGAGCCAAGCAGAGGGCTTGGAGACAGGGCTGGGGTGCAGGGGAGGCACACATGGGATATGACTTTCCAAAGGCAGGCATAGCAAATAAAAGTTTGGGAACCTCTGATCTACATAATGCCTTCTCAGCTACCACAAAGCTCCAATATTATCTGTCCAAAGCTAAACCACGATGTTTAATGTTTGTCTGTTAAATTAATAATCTCGTTTCATGCATTTAGACCAATAGCTCAAGAGTTCTCATAACAAAATGTTTCTAATTTATCTTTTCTCTTCCTAAGCATATAATAAATAAATTAAATAAATTAATGGAGATATCCTATCTCCCAGAACTGGAAGGGACCTTGAAAGGTCATTGAGTCCAGCCCCCTGCCTTCACTAGCAGGACCAAGTACTGATTTTTGCCCCAGATCCCTAAGTGGCCCCCTCAAGGATTGAACTCACAACCCTGGGTTTAGCAGGCCAATGCTCAAACCACTGAGCTATCCCTCCCCCCCAATTAAAGGTGCTCAATGGACTTCCAAATCTAGCTGGGATTTTGAGGGTCAGGTCCCAGTAGTAGGAAGTCTACCCCAAAAGAAGGCTTAGTGGAGTAAGTCTCCCTTAAGAATCCTGTTGTCTTTTATGCAGATCCTTGCATAAGAGGATCTGCATAAACTATGAGGCTGAGTAGGGCATTTAACCTCTTTTGTTCAGTTCAAGATGACACAAACAAAACATTTAGTAGAATTATTTGCCAACAAAAAAATATCTAACAAAATAAAAACAGTTTTTGCTAAAAGTGGCTAAACCAATACTTTTGAAGTAAAGAATTTAGATTATCTATTTTGCACAACAAAACAAATATAACACGCTTATAAAGTAGAAAACTAATAAAGCATAATGCAATAACTTAGGGTGTTTCTGCATCTTATTTGTTTTAAAAGTGATATTTTTTTGAATACAGAAAGAACCAGAACTGATGCTTCCTAAGCAGACAAAACTCTATTGAAGTTAACACCAGTTTGACCTGCACAAGGAGCACAGGATTGGGCATGCTTTTGATACATTAAAGTGTAAAAGAAAACCAGTGTTTCATTAAATATAAAGAGAATCGGACTTACTACCTTTCTTTTTGGAGTCTTTCTTTGCGCTGGTTTTAACAGCCACTGGAAGTTCTGTCTCAGTTGACATCCTATTATATCCTTAGTCTTCTTCACACAGATCCAGTGTCTCGGTCAGGCTCATTTAGAATGGCTCTCCAAGAGAATAACTTAGCCCTTCAGATACTATAACCCAGATAGCTCATCTCATTCACTCCTTTTGAGTGCTGCAAACAAACAAACAAACACTAACCGTCATTTTCTGAGTTAAAAAAGAGAAAAAAGTTGTCAAAGGAATCTAAAATGCTTTCTGGGTCTATAGGAGGACAGTAGGATCCGGGAGATATGGGGAGAAGTCACAGCTAACTAACCCACATGAATGTTAGTTTTAAAATTTCATGTTTCCAAGATAAAATGTATTACTTGATTGAGTGTATAAATACTAAGTTTTGAGTTTTATCTTTTTGTGAGGTCCCTACCTATGCCCTTATTTTCTTGAGCATATACAGAAAAATAAACCTGATGGGCCAGATTCTTATACACTTACTCATGTTGAGTAGTATCTTATTCCACTGGTAGTCCTGCTGAGACTTTTCAAATAAGGTGCTACCCAGTGTAGCAGAATCTGTTTTTCTAAGTTTTATTTAAAAGAAAATCATGATAATTCTTAGAACTCAGATAGCAATTTTCCCTTCAAAGCACTTTGCAATCACTAACTAATTATTTACCCTAATAATTCAAATGAGATAATATTATCTCAGATGGGGCAGAGAGAATACAACCTGCTCTCAGTTAGGCGTGGTGTGTAATTCAGCTGCTCCAGGAGCAACCCAGAGAATGAATCATGAGACTCAGGCTACGTCTTCACTACGGGGGGGGGTCGATTTAAGATACGCAAATTCGACGTATCGCAGCCGACTTACCCCGCTGTAAGGACGGTGGCAAAATCGACCTCCGTGGCTTCCTGTTGACGGCGCTTACTCCCACCTCCGCTGGTGGAGTAAGAGCATCGATTTGGGGATCGATTGTCGCGTCCCGACGAGACGCGATAATTCGATCCCCGAGAGGTTGATTTCTACCCGCCGATTCAGGCGGGTAGTGTAGACCTAGCCTCAGATTCACAACTCCTCCTCTGCTCCTCGCTTGTCCTGGGGAAGGAGTAAATTACTTCACCTCTTTTCATGGAGTCCCTTATTCACCACTTGCACCTGACCAACTAATGTGGCTGGTGATTAAGGGGACCTGAGCTCAGATTCCTCCCACCAGTGGTCTCTTAGCCCACTAGCTCTGCCATTCTGAACCTTTTTCACACTATGATACCACACTGCAAGAGAAAAGAGTTTCAGGACCCCATGCCCTTTTAGCCATAGAGAAAGGGAGGGTGGTTGTGACCCTGCTGGAACTGTTCATCACAACCCCCTGATTGAGGACCCTGCATTAGACCGCGCTGCCTCGCTAAAATGTGTACATATTATGGTATTCAGTCGACAATGTGACCGGGTTGATCAGCAGGCTAGATCAGTGTCTTGGCAGCAGCTGTGAGGTGACTGACTGAGTTGGTGGAATTTAAGTGGGTCATGGAGGGACACAAATAGGGACCAAAGGTTGAGCAACATTTGCTAGCTAGCTAAGTAAGTGTTTTCTGCAGGCTATTTTACAGCAGCTGCTGGACTGCTTTCCCTAGCTGGAGAAGGAGAAACAACAATTGTGGCAATCTGAGAAGCAGCAGCAGTTGAGGGAAACTATTGGTTCCCCAGAATGAATGGGCAGGGGATACTGAGGGGTCCATTTTGGACTGGTTTGGATTGGAAAAGTCATGGAGAACTAAAAGGGGTTACGCACGTAAAGGGAATAACATTACCATAAAACAAAATACATTCCCATTCACAGTACCTTAGTAAATGTTTGTAATAAAGTATGTTCTCAAAATACATGGAAGATTCCATATGAATTTTCTATATACCTTTTCTTTCAAACAAGCCTTAAGGATTCTGTTAATGTAGACATAATCAGGTGAAAAATATGGGCTATATTGTGCCACCCATCCTCAGACTGAGTAGTACCTCACTTTGTCAATGACCCAATTTTCTTCAGCAGAGCTACTGATGGATTAAGGAACAATTCAACTGGAATAAAGTTGGCATAACCTGGCCCTGAGATAGGACTGACAATTCAATAGTTCGAGATTAAACTTTTAGAGATGAGACTGAAGCTAAACCCTGGTTCAGATCATACCCAAACCTTGGGGAAAATTTGACTCCACTTCTGTAACTGAACCTTGCAGTTTGTGCCCACCTCCATTAACTTTTAATATCAGAATGTTTTCATAAATCAAAGGCCAGAAAATAAACATCAGGGTCTTAATTACTATATGTATAGAATTATGATAGCTTTTTAGAAAACGTAATGATCTGTATTTCTGTAACATTACAAGCACTATATTGCATATAGTCACATACTCCTTGGATAAACTGTCAGTTTATTTGTTGCATTAAACAATTTGTAACATTATTCAGCATTTGTATTACAACAGTATCTGTAGGCCTCATCCATGACCAGGGTCTCATTTCTGCTAGGTGTTCCATTGTGTTGTACCAACACATAACGAGACAGTCCCTGCTCTGAAGAGTTTATAGTCTGAATAGACATGACAAATAAAGGCTGGCAGACAGGAAGAATTATTGTGCTATGTTACAGATGGGGAACTGAGGCACAGAGAGATGAGCAACTTGTCCAAGGCCACACAGGAAGTCTGTTGCAAAGCCAAGATTTGAAACCAGTCTCTGTCCAGTGTCTTAATGACAAGACAGTCCTTCAGGTATGTCTGCACCGAAGACATACCTGTGGCTGGCTTGTGCCAGCTGACTAGAGCTCAAAGGGCTCAGACTAAGGAGCTGTTTAATTGTGGTGTAGACGTTCAAGCTCGGGCTGGAGCCTGGGGTCCTAGAGCCAGACGAAGGTTTTTTAACTGCAGCATAGACATTCCTTCCTCTCTAAATAGGACTTCCCCTTCTCCCCCCAAAAACTTTATACAGGACACAGTTTTGGAATTTCTGTAATGCAATGCCTGCTAAAAAGAAAACAGAGCAACCTATCATTTAAGTTTAAACAGTTTAGAAGCATAAACAGAATACACCTTTAGTTTTTAAAATGTTATGCTTACTCCTCGACTTATGCAAAAATACATCTTATTGGAGAAGTTACTGCAAAAGTCGGTCCAGATGGTGTGGGTGGGGCATTAATGAATGCAAAGAAGGAACGGGTAGCTTAGCTACTGAGCCATGAAGAATGCAAAGAGCCATTTGGAATCCTGGCTCCTCATAAAACAGGTCTCCAGTGGAATGTCTGCTCCCCCTGCCAGGCCTTCCCCTTGGAATATCTGCCCCCACTGCTCTCCTAATGAGGTACTACATGTCCCCTTAGCAGGATGTCCATCTTTCTCAGTCACTATGCTGCTGTTGACTCCCTGCACTTTTCTGGTGGAGTAAAGCTGCAGAGGGACAGCAATGAACACCAGCGATTTGCTGCCGAAGTTATGGCTGGTTATTATGTGAGCATGCTGTGAAGAGTGACTACTCCATAGCACTACCTCGCCCTCCTGGCTGGTCACTTTCCCAGGTTGTCACCACAGAAGAAGGCTGCCAGTGGTTACCTGGCAAGAGGCTCCATACCTTCCTTTTCCTTCTTATGAGTTCCTCGGACACATTTCTTCATGAATGGTAAGGAGTCTGGTGGCACCTTAAAGACTGTTTTACCCACGAACGCTTATGCCCAAATAAATCTGTTAGTCTTTAAGGTGCCACCAGACTCCTTGTTGTTTTTGTGGATACAGACTAACACGGCTACCCCCTGATACTTCATGAATGGTGTGTGTTCGCTCCCCTTTGCATAGCAGAAAGAAGCATCTAGTCCAGAGTTCTGAGTACGCAGTGCAAACAAACTTGTAATTATTAAGAAATTCAGTTCTTTGCAATTTAGGAGATTAAAGCTCTTCAAAACTTGGAATAAATTTGACAGTTTAAATCACTTTTCACAGCAAAGGCTCTGAAGCCACTTGCACTTTTAAATCTAAGCTCTTTTAACATTTTGAAATGCTTCAATAACATTACATTCTATGCACTATCTGAAGTGATTTAATATTCCTGAAGTGTGTCAGGGTTTTTTTCTTTAATGAGCTCTTCAAATCTGTATGAGAATTATATAACATGCAAGGATAGCTGTTCAAAGTCGGCCAAACTGATTTAAAAATATAAAGTTCCTTGCTCCTCCCCTAGAAACTCTAATGAGTAAGTAAAACATGCAAACAAAAAAGAATCTCTACAAAGTCATGATGCCTGTTAAAACAACATCCTCAGAAAACTTTGAAGCCCAAAGGAACTTTAATTTACCTTTCCTAGTTAAGGGAAAGCAAAAAGAAGAGATGAAAATAAGCGAATGGCTGATTGGATGACAGGTCATTCTTGGAATAGAATTTTTCACCAGTTCCATTCCACTAACACAAGTGGAGGGGATATTTTCATTTAATATTTTCACATTGTTTCCTTAATATTTTCAGTTCAACAGCACTTAAAGCAATAAGGATAATGAAACCAATTGTCAGAGTGCCTGGCTCCCCCCCCCCCCCCCCCCAAGAATTTGGGTTTATATATTTTATCTAAAAGTTAAAAGAATATAATACATCCTGCAAGATGCACTAAGAGCTACTTTACTAGACAAATGACAAACGATTAACCCGTAATTAGGGCCCTACCAAATTCAAGGTCCATTTTGGTCAATTTCACAGTCATAGGATTTTAAAAATCGTAAATTTCATGATTTCAGCTATTTAAATCTGAAATTTCACGATGTTGTAATTGTAGGGGTCCTGACCCAAAAAGGAGCTGTGGTGGGGTTATAAGGTTATTGTAGGGGGGTTTGCGGTACTACTACCTTTACGTCTATGCTGCTGCTGGCGGTGGCACTGCCTTCTGAGCTGGGCTGCTGAAGAACAGAGGCTGCTGGCTGGGATCCCAGCTCTGAAGGCAGAGAGCAGCACAGAAGTAAGGATGGCATGGTATGATATTGCCCCCTTACTTCTGCACTGCTGCCTTCAGAGCTTGGTGCCCGGCCAACAGCCGCCGCTCTCCAGCTGCCCAGCTCTGAAGGCAGCACAGATGTAAGGGTGGCAATACTGCGATCCCCCTAAAATAATCTTGTGACCCTCCTGCAACTCCCTTTTGGGTTAGGA